TTATGATGTCTTACTTTTACAAATCTTAATTTGGTCAATTAAATCATCTATAATCACTTATGAAAGAATTATTGACCAAAACTCTATTTTCACCTAAATCACATCTGTCTTTTGACATCATCTTAACATCAATACCTAAATTTCTCTCTTTTGAAAATTTTTAAATATATTTTAATTTATTATTTTAGTATAAAAATCATAAAAAATTATATTTTTTCAATTTTTTATAAAATCATAGAAGATCTTAACTTACATCCTTGTGATTGATATAGAAATTTCTCATTATTTTTAATTTTTTTGATAAATTATAATTAATTTATTTTTAATAAAATATTTCTAAAAAAATCTAAAATTTGATATTTTTTAGTTTTATAAACTTTAAATTTATTGAATTTATCATACAATGATTAAGTTATGTTAATGGGTTACCTTGAGAAGTGTTGGTATAATGAGATATGATTTGTACTTGATGCTTACCACGAGAATTCAATGTCTTAAGCCAAGCAAATATATTGAGAATCAATTGTACTTTAAACTAATACCTTAAAAATAATACTTAGCCTAAACTCAAACCATTGTAGACATTGTTAGGAGATTAGTAATCATCTAAAATGGGGTGTGTGTGTTAAGGTATCATTCTTGTATTCAGATTAGAGGTAAATAATAAACAATAATGTATGAACTAAAGTTAAATTTAATAAAATAGAATGAAAAACATGAAACCTAAGTTTAGAAGGTATATCAAAAATTTGATTTAAATTTACAGATCAGCCATTAACTTACACCCTAATGCAATAGCCAAGTCATTGCCTTGAGAAATATGTGTTACTTTTTTTATAGTCAATTGTTGTTGGACTTGATGAAGAAGACTCAAGGTGACCTGCTAACGGGCTACACACACTAGGCCCAAATTTAAGGTTCATTAAAGAGAAGTATAAAATAGAAGAGAGGAGGAGAGAGAAAGGGTGGTGATTGGTTGGGAGCTAGGGCATGGGGCAGTGGTGGCTGGCCTCCCTCTACATGATAGGTGGAGACAGTCACAATGGTAGCTGTGATGGTGATGGCACAACAGCGGTGAGTTGATGGCGATGGCAGCTGTGAGCTCTCCTCTTGTGTGATAGGCAAAGGAGGAGTTGGGCTTGACGGCGACGGTGCAGTGGCAGCGGCAAATAGTGATGTTGGTTGTGAACTCCCCTCTTCCATGACAAGCAGAGGAGCCTAGGGTGATGGTGGTGATTGTCGCATCTACGACAATAGCGACAGCTGTGATGGAGCAATGAGCTGAGCACAATGGTGGCATGCATTCAACAACAATATTGACCTGTCTTCCCACTTCCAGAAATTGTGCTCTCCTCTTGAGTGGCAGATGGAGTGAGAAGTCAAGGGAAAAGGGAGGGTGGTTCTGAAAATTGAGTTTATTTTATTTAAATTCGTCCATTAGTTAGAGGTTTTGTCATCTTAGTGGTATGAGTGACAAATGCATAGCTAGAGTTGCTTTTTGATTGTATTAGTTACTAAGAAGTCTTTATTATCATGAGTTAATAATTAGTAAATAATATAGTTTTAGCCTTAACTCATGATAAATAGACTTATATTTGTGTTAAAGTGTGAAAAATAGTTTTCAGTTGATTAATGTGAATTTTTGGGTAATTATGTGATTTTATATGATTTTTACAGTCTTACTTTTGAGATAAATAAAGAATAAGAAATAAAAATAAAAATATTATAAAATAGAGGGACCTGTCAGCCAGTCGGGCCCGCAAGTGGGTCGGGGAGTAGCCACGAGTAGGGGCTCGAGCGGCTTGGACCGATAGGGGCACATGTGAGCCACTCTCCTTCCACATCACTGATGGCCAGCCGACTATGGGGCAAGGAGTGGTTGTACATACGAGAGAAGGGATTTTGCTTAGAAAGCTAACATTACTATATATTCGCCCCAAAAATTGGCACACAACTAATGTAGGACTAAACCCACGTCACACCTTCCTCAGAAGAGGTGGGCGACCAGTGTGGGTTCGCGTCTTTCTAAAGTCAAAAGTCATATATTTTTCTCTAATTATCGTGACTTTTGTGTAGATCGCCGGTGAAGGATTAAGTAACAAGAATCGCTGAATCATTGGCAAAAATCTCGTCAACACGATTCATAGAGCATTGCTACTAAAATTCCTGAACGATTCACAATAAAAGGATCGTGAATCCATCAAGTAAATCATCTCCGATTGATCGACGAACAAGCCGTCGTTAGGAAGAAGACAATCCACCAAGAGATGAGTCGCCACCTCCTGAAAGCGTACCAGATGCGATGAAGAGCCTCCTCTTGCTACGCGGACCTGAGGATGAAGCTCCTTGACATGCACCTTGACGTGACTCAGTCGTTGTATATTAAATCACAGAAATCTAAAATTTATAAAACTAGAAAATACAAATTTTTACATATTTAGAAGTATTTCTAAATAAAAATATCAATTATAATTCAATAAAACTTCCAAAAATAGTAGTGATTTTCCAAGTCGATCATAGGGATGTAATATAATATCTGGTAATTATTTAGAATTATTCTCAATGAATATGATTTTCTATGAATTTTATACTAGGAAATAAAAAGAAAATATATTTAAAATTCACAAAAAAGGGAAATAAAGGTGCGGACATCAGGATGACGTCAACACCTAGCAAATGCGAATCGGGCAGAAATAGAGTTCCACCCGGCGATTCTTACGTAAGCGATTACATATGATTTAATTGATCAAATTAAGATCTATAAAAGCTGAAAGAATCGTAATAGAATAAAGTATATTTTGGTAAATTAAAATCATAAAAACTATCACTAAATGAAGCGTAAAGTAAGTTGAAAGTAGGAAAACAAAGTTCCAACGTCGCGACGGCAATACTTTTGTGATGGATCAGAATCCTCAACATTCCGGAGGATTGTCATGTAGTGTCTACGGCCTCGAAGACTCTCCTTGGACAAAGATGATGTGGGCAATCTCTAGATCTTCTCGCGAAGTCTAGAGATTAACAAAATGGGTCATTGCGTCATTTCCAACGGCTGTCACCTGGTGGAGTGGAAAAATGACGACTTTGCGGCTCTCCAGCAGCTGTCACCCGACAGAGAGTAGCTGGATAGAGGTGGGATGCATGTCAAGGAGCTTCATCCTCAAGTCCGCACAGTAAGAGGAGGCTCTTCATCGCATCCGGTAAGCTCTCAGGAGGTGGCGACTTATCTCCTGGCAGATCGTCCTCTTCCCGATGACAGCTTATTTGTCGATCAATCAGAGATCATTTACTCGATGGATTGCAATCCTTTTATCGTGAATCGTTCAACAATTTTAGTAGCGATGCTCTGCAAATCGTGTTGACGAGATTTTCGCTGATGATCTAGTGATTCTCATTACTTAATCCTTCACTGGTGATCTGCAAGAAAGTCACAATAGTTAGATAAAAATATATGAATTTTGACTCCAGAAGGATTCAAACTCGTGCCCGTCGCCCGCCTCTGAGGAAGGTGTGACGCAAGTTTGGTCCCACATCAGTTGTGCGCCGATTTTTCGGGCGAATATATAGTAATGTTAGCTTTCTAAGCAAAGTCCCTTCTCTTGCGTGTACGACCACTCCTTGCCCCACAGTCAGTTGGCCACCGGTGACGTAGAAGGGGAGTGGCGCACACGTGCCCCTATCGATCCAAGCTAAGCCGCTCGATCCTTTGCTCGCGGCTACTCCCTGATTACGCTTCCGACTTGCTTGCGGGCCTGGCTGGCCAGTGGGTCCCTCATTTTGTAATATTTTTATTTTTATTTCTTGTTCTTTATTTATCTCAAAAGTAAAACTATAAAAATCATATAAAATCACATAATTACTCAAAAATTCACATTAATCAACTGAAAACTACAAATCATACTTTAACACAAATATAAGTCTATTTATCATGAATTAAGGCTAAAACTATATTATCCACTAATTATTAACTCATGATAATGAAGACTTATCACACCCCACCTCTATCCAACTCTTCTCTGTCAAGTGACAGTAGCCAGAGAGCTGCAAAGTCGCCGCTTTTCCGCTCTGCCGGGTGACAGCTACCGGAGATAACCCAACAACCCATTTCATTAATCTCTAGACTTCGCGAGTAGATCTAGAGATTACCCACATCGTCTTTGTCCAAGGAGAGCCTTTGAGGCTGTGGACACTACACGACCATCCTCTTGAACGCTCAAGATTCTAGTGCATCGTCGACACATCCTCGTCACAACACTAGAACTCTATTTTTCTACTTTCAACTTACTTTACACTTCATTTAGTGATAGTTTTTGTGATTTTAATTTACCAAAATATACTTTGTTCTATTACGATTCTTCCGGCTTTTACAAATCTTAATTTGATTAATTAAATCGTTTGTAATTGCTTACGTAGGAATCACGGGGCAAAACTCTATTTCTGCCCGATTCACATTTGCCAGGCACTGACGTCATCCTAACATCCGCACCCTTATTTCCCTTTTTTGTGAATTTTAAATATATTTTCTTTTTCATTTCTTAATATAAAATTCATATAAAATCATATTCATTGAGACAAATTCTGAATAATTACTAGATATTATATTACATCTCTATGATCGACTTGAAAAATTACTACTATTTTTGAAAGGTTTATTAAATTATAATTGATATATTTATTTAGAAATACTTCTAAATATCTGAAAATTTATATTTTCTAGTTTTATAAATTTTAGATTTACGTGATTTAATATACAACGACTAAGTCACATCAATTACTCTGTTTTATAACTACAATACTATTTATTCTACATATTAAAATCCTACTTGAGTGACAGATAAGGAGCATTTGGTTTTAAATTTGAGTCTATTCATTAAATTTTATTTTCGTCCTTGGGTGAGAGCTGAGGACGATTTTACTTAAGATTGAGTTTGACTTCATTTTTTTAATTGTTTTAGGTTGAGTTTAATATCACCTTATGTAGAGAAGGTGAATCAACCATTCAACTAGTAGTTGTCCTTGTGGATCGGCCTGAACCACTAAGAACTTAAGACTGATATCTTCTATTTTTGAGGTTGCATGTAAGTATTGAATTTGAATCATTTTAATTTAAAGACTAAAACGTGGACATGTGCTCACCCCCTATTTATAACGTAGGGTTAGGGGGAGCACCTAGGGACAAGACATAATGCCCTAAGCTGAAATCTACTTTTAGGGAGTGACTCTCTTAGACTTTGTGACAAGTCATCATAGATATAGATATGTGTACCTATAATGCATCTGAGATGATCATTCTCCACAAATTCCATCAAAATGTCTACATGAGCTGGCAAACAAGGTGAGCCCCTAAAAAGAAAACAATATAAACTATTTCTCAACACACTCAAGAGGAAGGTCATCTAACATGACTTAGTCATTGTATAGTAACTCACGCAAATTTAAAATATATAAAACTAGAAAATATAATTTTTTAGATATTTAAAAGTATTTATAAATAAATATATTAATTATAATTCAATAAAACTTCTAAAAATAGTAGTAATTTTTCAGGTCAATCACAGAGATGTAGTATAATATCTGGTAATTATTCAAAAATTTACTCAAAGCTGGCTGACCACTAGTGATGTGGAAGGGGAGTGGTGCACACGTGCCCCTATCGGTCCTAGCCGCTCAAGCCCCTACTGACAACTCCTCTTTAACTGCACTTTTGACCCACTTACGGGCCCAGTTGGCCGACAGGTCTCCCCCATTTTGTTTTATTTTTATTTTTATTTTTTTTCTTCATTTATCTTAGAAGTAAGATTATAAATTCATATAAAATCATATAAAATCACATAATTACCCAAAAAATTCACATTAATCAATTGAAAACCACTTTTCACACTTTAATTAATTGAAAATTCATATTAACTCATGATAATGAAGACTTTTCAATCTCTCTCTCTCCTTCTCTCTCTCTCTCTCTCTCTCTCTCTCTCTCTCTCTCTCTCTCGTGAAACTTTTCTCTCTCTCCATCCACGTGAGATTTCTCTCCTCCTCCCTCTTTCTCTTCCTTTCACAAGAGATCTCATCCCTTCTCTTTGGTGAGAGCTCTCTCTCCTCCTCTCTCTTTCTCTCCATTTCACAAGAGATCTTATCCCTTCTCTCTCTCGTGAGAGCATTGATAATGCATAAATAATACATTATATATGAGGTATATCATATCAAAGCTCGTGATTTTAAGATGCAAAATTCTTAATTTACTAATTAATTCTCATGTTTAGGGCATGCATTGACATTCATACACATTTTACATATTTCATTCATTTCTCATTATATTATACATTTTTAGATACCGTATATACATCGTGTGAGAACACGATGTAATTCCTTGTCTTCTAACCATGTGAGCTTCATATGTTCAGCGTTAGCTTATAGCTTATTAAGGAGCAAAGACTGCACTTGGTCATGGAGTGAAGAGTCATGAGTTTAAAGCTCATAATCACATAAGGAGAAGCAAGTGAATTGAGATCAAATGAAGAGTTAAGGACATAACGTCCATATTTACTTAGAGGGTGTCATCCAAAGAGGAGAAAAGGAGGATCCACTGCTCACTTAAGAGAGAGGAAGCATTGATTCAATAGTTGAGATGCATATTTATCAAGAGGCACATGAGAAAACATGAAAGAGGATCCACTGTCCACGCAAGAAGGAAGCAGCTCAGTCGTGGATTCAAGGGTTAATCGTGAGTTGTAAGGAATAGTAAGAGAATGAGGGGTGTCGTTGTATACATACCATGTATCAACGATGAAAAACATAGCTTATCTTAGTGGAACTTCAGGCAGTTGCCATCTCAACAAGGTTTGAATGGTCTAACATGACTCAATTGTTGTATAGTAAATCACGTAAATTTAAAATTTATAAAACTAGAAAATATAAATTTTCAAATATTTAGAAGTATTTCTAACTAAATATATCAATTATAATTCAATAAAACTTTTAAAAATAATGGTAATTTTCCAAGTTGATCACAAGGATGTAGTATAATATCTAATAATTATTTAGAATTATCTACAAAAAATACTATTTTTATGAATTTTATATTGAGAAATAAAAAGAAAATATATTTAAAATTCACGAAAAAGGGAAATAAGGGTGCAGACATCAAGATGACTTCAATGCTTGACGAACACAAATCGAACAGAAATAGAGTTCTACTCGGTGATTCTTACTTAAGTGATTATAGATAATTTAATTAATCAAATGAAGATCTATAAAAGTCAGAAGAATCGTAATTGAACAAAGTATATTTTGATAAATTAAAATTACACAAATTATCACTAAATGAAGCATAAAGTAAGTTGAAAGTAGGAAAATAGAATTCTGGCGTCACAGCAGTAATGCGTCAATGATGCACTGGAATCCTAAGCTTTCGGGAGGATAGTCATGTAGTGTCCATGGCCTCGAAGGCTCTCCTTGGATAAGGATGATGTGGGCAATCTCTAAATCTCCTTGCAAAGTCTAGAGATCAATGAATTGAGTCGTTAAATCATCTCTGGTAGCTGTCACTCGACAAAGTAGAAAAATGACGACTTTGCAACTCTCTAGCAGCTGTCACCCAATGGAGAGGAGCTGGATGGAGGTGGGGCGCGTCTCAGGGAGCTTCATCCTCAAGTCCACACAGCAAGAGGAGGCTCTTCATCGCATCTGGTATGTTCTCAAGAGGTGGCGACTCATCTCCTAGCGGATCATCCTCTTCCCAACGACGGCTTGTTTATTGATTAATCAGATATGCTTTACTTGATGGATTCACGATCCTTTTATCGTGAATCATTTAATAATTTTAGTAACAATGCTCCGCGAATAGTGTTGACGAGATTATTGCTGATGATCTAGTGATTCTAGTTGCTTAATCCTTCATCGGCAATCTATAGAAAAGTCTTGATAATCAGATAAAAAATATGAATTTTGGCTCTAGGAGGATTCAAACCCATGCTGGTTGCCTGCCCTTTCAGAAGAAGGTGTGATGCGGGTTTAGTCCCACATTACTTGTGCGCCAATTTTTCGAGTGAATATATACTAATGTTACATTTCTAAGCAAGCCCCTTCTCTCGTGTGTACGACCACTCCTTGCTCCACAATCGGCTGGCCATCAGTGACATGAAAGGGGACTAGCACACACATGCCTCTTTGGTCCAAGCTGCTTGAGCCCTTACTTGCAGCTACTCCCTAATTGTGCTTCTGACCCACTTACAGGCCTAATTGGCCAGCGGGTCCCACCATTCTATAATATTTTTATTTTTATTTCTTTTTCTTCATTTATCTCAAAATTAAGACTGTAAAAAATCATATAAATTCATATAAAATCATAATTACCTAAAAATTCACGTTAATTAGCTGAAAACTACTTTTCACACTTTAACACAAATATAAGTCTATTTATCATGTCTTAAGACTAAAACTATATTATTTACCAATTATTAACTCATGATAATGAAGACTTATCACACCCCCCAACTTAAATCATTGCTAGTCCCTTAGCAATGGAATTACGAAAATAAAAATTTATAAATTTCAAACATCATATTTCAATATATAAAAAATACAATTAAAAATGATGCACCTTTAGACACTTTTGACTCTTATATCAAGTATTTAAGAATGATGTAAAGCACTTAAATGTTTAAGTACTCCTTGAAATAACAATCTAGACTTCACTTCTTCTATTCACATCTTTATGACTTCTTCACTCATAAATATATTTAGAAGATATTCTAATTATCAATAATCATCCAATAATAATATTGATCTTACATTTTCCTTTTCCATGGCTTGATTTTTGAAGTTTACATTATATTTCTTCCTTCTTTATATATATATATATAGTGGATAAGTAGCTTTTCTTGTAGACAAATTTTGATAATAAGAATGATGTCTCACACCCTCCATGTGTACTCTTAATTTTTAGGGCTTTCACTTTATTTACTTAATTTTTCTATACACGATTTTCAACAATGAGAATGATGTCTCACACCCTCCATGTGTATTCTTCATTTCTAGATTTTTTACATTACTCTCTTTTTTTTTCGAAATAAGTGATTTCTCCTCATAAGTCCTATAGATCAGGGTGCAAAAATCTCTATTAAACTCAAATGATCAATCAAATTTTCACATCAAGTAAATACTATCCACTAAGATCATGAAGTGAAAATTTGTAAAATCAAATCCATGTTATCTATCATGTATCCAAGGAGTATTCTAACATTTCATGCTACTAGATCATTCTTTTGACTCAATAATCATCTTCCTAGTATCTTTTGATATCAATGAGTCTAATTGATTTAATTTTTCATGCATGCAATATGATGTAAGAAATTTATAAATTAGATAGTTTTGATGGTTCTGTTTTCTATTTTCACTTTTGTTTTTAACAACAATAAATTTGTCAAAAATAAATTAAAATTATCCTCTTTATAGCTGTAATTTTGAATTTCAGTAGTATATGTCTAGGGGATTGAAATGTGAGAAAAGGGTCTCTAGAATTTCAAATTTCGGGCTGTTTTGTGTTTGCTATTTTTGACAGTGTGTTGTTCTTGACAGAAAATAGGAAATAGATGTTGTAGTTTTTCCAAATTTTATCTTATTTTTTATTTTTTCAGTTGTTGTTCTAATACAAACACATGTTTTTAATCATCCTACAGCATAAATTAATAATGAATACTTCACTCCCCAACTTAAAAATGACATTGTCCACAATGACACAGAAAAATCAAAATAGAATATGTAGAAAATATAATTTTCAAGTGAAACATGCATATATGCAAAGTTAAGCATTAAAACTGTTATCATAAATGATAAAGCTCATAAAGACATCACCTCAACCTCATTTTTAATTTTCCACTTCATCTTACACTCCTCATGTACTTATTCGAAAAAACAAATACATAAACAAGTACTACGAAATTCTAAGAAAAACAGAGCTTAAAAAAAATAAATCAAACAGAATGAAATAAAAACCATGGGTTGCCTCCAATGTAGTGCTGAATTTAACGTCTTTAGTTGGACAGCTCTTAGATCATATAAGATGATATATGGCCATCAAAATATATTTGTATCCCAAGGTAAGTTTCATGATATTCTTTTTCAGATTTAGCATAAATTCATATACTTCATATATATACCTTGACATACTTTCAGCCAAAATAAAATGAAAATTAAAAAAAAATCTCAAAAATAATATTTTCATTTTGAAAAGAATCTTTCCTCATTTCTATCTTGTTTTGTAAGGCTCTCATTCATTAATAAATACTTTCTATTAATAGACCATAAAATGTGATCTGGCTATATAATTTTCAAATTACCTCTTACCTAATCTAAAATTTTTTCATGTAAATTGATATCTCTAATTCTTCCACTCACCCATTTCTTAATGTGTTTTTGTATCTACATAATCTTCCCCTACTCCATTTTATCTTATATACATATTTGTTCAATTTGCGATGAGTGAAATATTTCAAGCTTAGAAATAATTCTAATGGGCTGTGGGTTTTGAAAGATAGAAGTATTGTCTTCTTTAATCTCAGATCTAATGAATTCAGTAAAATTTAAATTTTCTCCTCCATTAGTTGAATTAACTCTTTTTCTAGCTTTTCGTTTCTCAACTCATCAAATTCTTCATCTTCCTAAGAGTTATCTTTTAATTTCTGTATATGATATACATCATCATCCTCACTATCAACATTCATGGCTACAAGATTATGATTAGATTTATTAATTTTGTCTCCGATCTCCCAAATCAACTAATTTTTTCTCACCTAAAATATGTTTTTCTTCATTTATGTCCTTACTCCCTTCCACTAAAATTTGGATGATCTTTCCATAATCAGCTGTTGTCTCTTCATCTAAGGGCTCTTTCTCCTCATCATCCTCACTATATTCATTCATCAATTGTGATCAATAAATAATTGTATTCAAAATTTTTGCTACTATATTTTCAGTCTTAATATTCTCATTTACTTCTAATGACTCATCAATTTTTTATAATAATTGGAAATAAGGATCAGGTAAAATATTCTCACTCAATATATTCACTACCCTAACATTTTTATTTCATAGGTTTTTTTCTAAATTTATCCAGCTAGACTATCCTTGCTGAAATTTTATTGTTGGAGGGTTCCTTGGATTTTCTATGGGCTGACTAAGTAGTTGTCCCTCTTCTCTCTTATTCTCAAGAGCCTCTATAATTTGTTTCTGATGCAGCATCATTTGATTCATAGTTTGTTGCATCATTTGGTTCATAGTTTGTTTCATCATTTGGCTCATTTGCTGCATCATTTCTATAGCATCAGGTTGGGTTTGAGAGAACTTATTCTTTTTAAATCTATTTTCTTATTTTGGACGAAATTCAAAGTTTGAATTGGGTATAAGTACTTCTAGATTTTGAATATTATTTGGGTCTCTCCATGAAAAATTATTCCTCTAATTAAGATTATAAGAATTTAAAAAAAGTTTCCTATTTCTATTAAAACCATGAGCTACTTGCACTTGTTATTGCATAGGGTGAAATGATTGATCTAAATTATAGTATTGAAATTCAGAATAATCATTTTCACCATACATAGGACATGTACTATTTGAATTAAATTGAAGGTTAAGAGGCTTTCTAATATTGTCAATAAGTAAATTAAGTTTTTCTAATCTTTGATTAATCTGATTAACCTCATTTCTAAATTTAGAATCATCATCATGATGCAATTCATAAATTCCTCTCTTCTTATCCCTATCATATAATTCAAAAGAGACTTGATCTCTTGAATTTTTACTTAAATTCTCATAAAGACTATAAATCTCATTAGGGGTTTTCTCCATAAAAGCTCCTCCACATATAGAATCAACTATATTTCTATGTTGTTCTAATAATCCATCATAAAAAATTCTATTGGGCTGTCACTTACGTATAACATAATGAGGAAACTTTCTAACTAAATCTTTGAATGCTTCTCATGTCTCATGTAAATTTTCTCTTGGTCTTTGAGAAAAACTCCATATATATTTTCTCATATTTTGAGTTTTTTCCTAAGGGATAAAATTTTTGAAGAAAGGCTTGTTCTATATCTTTCTAGCTAGTTAATTCTCTATCTAATGTGGATAGTCAATGGTTAGCTTTGTCCCTAAGTGTACGAGGAAATAATTTCATCTTAATAATTTCTAATGTAACTTGAGGGAGATTAGCTAAATCACAGACCATATGAAATTTTTCTAAGTGCTGATGAGGTTCCTCTAAAGGCAATCCATAAAAATTAGGGAGCATTTGAAAAATTACTAGATTTATTTCGAATTTAATAGTGGGTGCTAATGGAATGTTAATATTGGATGCTCTTTGAAATGAATCAGGGATATAATAATTTTTCATGACTATAGGATTTTTCTCAATTTGACCTATACTTCTTTCAGGATCTATCAAAATTATTTTTTTCTTTCAGATTTTTAATTTTGAATGAAATAATGAAAAGATTTTCTAGCCTTAGATGTAAGGATCTTCTATCATGCATAAAAAATTAAAAAAATCGAGGAAAAAAAGTTTAGTAATTGGTACCCTCCTACAGTATGCTCTAGTCTTTGCCTTGCTTCTCTTTGTTCCCTTTAAAAAAAAAAAATCAGCAAAAAGAAAATAGAACAAGAGTTAAATTATTTTGTGTACTCTAAGAGAAAAATAGAAAGACTGTAATATTTATCAATATTTTTATTTTTATTTTTTTCTTCATTTATCTCAAAAGTAAGAGTAAAAAATTATATAAATTTGTATAAAATCACATAATTACCCAAAAATTCACGTTAATCAATTGAAAACTACTTTTCACACTTTAACACAAATATAAGTCTATTTATCATGCGTTAAGACTAAAATTATATTATTTACTAATTATTAACTCATGATAATAAAGACTTATCAGGGTCCCAAGCTCCATACCTCTCAACGACCCTCAAAATTGACTCATCAAGTATTTGTTCTCTCTCTTCTATCTTTCCTCCTTTTTCTCCACTTCCCTTCTTTTATTCTTCTCACTTCATCCTTCTATTTTATTATTTCTATTCAATATTAATAAAATATTAAGAATTACTTTATATTTAAATTAAATTAATTTTCACGACAGATTAATCAATCTCTTTGTGTTCGACTTGAGACTTACTTCTATACTAGTATTTTATTAAGTCTTAGTCACAAATATTATTAGATAGTGATCATTTAAACATAATGACAAGTGCACACTATAAATTGTTTAAGCACAAAGGTCAACTAAGTTGCATTTCATTTATAATGGATGTGTTCCTACTTTTGAACATCATCTCCACTTTCCTCAATTGGGTTTGTTTCCATAAGTCTTAAAGGTCAACTAACCATTGCTCATTGTTAATCATTACTCAATAGAAGAAGTGGGCTCGACTTGCCCATCAGCCCACAATGACATGATTGACCAATGGAAGGCCCTACCTCTCTCCCTCTCTCTCTCTCTCTCTCTCATTATCAAATAATGGTCACTTAATTAAAGCCTCCATTTCTCTTGCTCTAGGGGGCTCTCTAGTCCACCATGCTCTCTCTTTTTGTAGAGGTGAGAGCCAAAATTTGTTGACTCACGAATCATTGTACCTAGCATATTCTCTCTCTTGTAGAGGTGAGAACAAAATTTGTTCACTCACAAATCATTGCAAACTAGTATGCTCTCTCTCTCACTTCCTTATAAAAGACTACAATATGTGAACTCAGTGTTCAATTTAGTGGCTGGTTGATCTCATAATGTCTCAAGACTAACAAGACACCTACTACCTTCAAGTTACTTCTGAGCTTTATTTGTATGTCTTTTAGTTTAATTTTGCCCAAATGTATCTGATATGACCCTATTATTTACATATAGAAGTCATGAGAATGAGTCACATGAACGGCATGTGTGAGGGCTATAAATATAGCAAAAGGGGGGGAGGGTCATAGAGAGGAAGATGAATCAGAACTTGGAGAGGTAAGAAAATCCTTTCAAATTCATTCCCCACCCCTTACT